CCCCCTAGACCCGTCATAGCCTAGAGCCCTACTTGAACGTATCCTCGTATCACTTTGCAACGCACCGCTTGTATCGCACAAACGCTTGAAAATTTCTCCCGCCCAATCTCCCTGAACTCAACCGCGTAAATTCAAATGTCCCGCCTAATCCTGCCTTCTATTCGTTGACATTTTCTTATTATTTCGTCACCCCATCTCTATCCCATCCATAAAAACATTGCGTTGCACAAACTACGAACATGTTCTTGGTTCCTAAAATGAACCGTATTATCGCTTGTTTAAATGAATATTCTGGACACTTTTCGAACTGGTTTCTCACGCTTGATACTTGTCTCCGTGTTTGTCGTGGGTCTAACTGTCGGTCGATAACTGTCAAGGTTTGTTTTACATTAATTGATTTATTGATATTTTGCTATACAGTACATCACATTTTGTCGGGATCACTTTCGTTTTGAATTCGGATCCATTCTTCGGTGCTCGTTGCTCGACTTATCGATTTTGTCGCATACACCTACCATTTTTGTCCATTTGTGCTAGTATTGGTGATGTGTAACCTTGGTTACCCGGCTTAAGATCATAAGATTTTTCTCTATAGAGGAGGTCACTTGGGCATTGATGAACCAGGACACAGGATAACAGAGCAACCAATAGAACCGCCCGACCGAACAACTGACAGTGATAGAGGGTCAGCCCCGGCTAGCTTCACGTATATTAACACACACAACACTACACAACTCACAACCACGAACCCATTACTACGCAGATCTACGCTCCCAACAACGCACTGATGATGTTACCTCAGTTGGTATTAAAGCGTTTGCAATCTAAATGTCCAGCTCAGCTGACAAACCAACGGCTAGCCTTCATCCGTTTTTGCCCATAGAGTTTGTCGTGAACTCCTACCTTTGGAGAGGTAGCGGTAGGGTGGTGGTGGGAAAAAATTAGTTCCACCGGGTTGTTCGGATCTATCAGCGTGTACCACGGACCAGCACAGTAGCCATATAAAGGCCCAATATTTAGTTATTCGGACAGATCAACAGGGGAAGATGCGGGGATGAATTAACCCACTAGGTCGACAGAGACAAACGAGAGTAGATGAGAGATTGGCATCAGCAGCAGACGGTTGTCGTGATTTTAGACATATCGTTCCGAACAAGAACTACCAGGGTAGGCCCTTTAAGTACTCAAACCAGCCACTGTTGTACTCTGATCATAGGAAATAAGTGTAATGGATAATGGTTGTAGGGTGCTTTGGTCCCTTCTGAAAACCGAAAGCGTTGCTAACCTTTGAAAAAGCATAAGAAGGCAACATGGGCATAACGAAAAATGACTGCTTTCTGAACCGGACAAGTGATTGAGTAGGATAGCTCACGATAAGTTCTTTGGAATTCTCACAGCACGTTCTCGATATGGATGACACGGTCGGTTGATGTTATGATCCCATCAATTAAATTCAAGCGCTGCGCCAGACAGCCGCGCTAATCCTAAATTGGCCCAGATTGTTGTTCCAAAATGGCCGCCATCGTCGTCCTTCATCGTCAGTTCCTGGATGGATTTTTGACCGGAAATGGATTGAGGGTGTAGACTGGAGGTGTGGCTTGTGGGCTTGGGCAATATACAGCATGAACCTAAAATGGCGGGAAAATAGCTATGGATAAACTCCAAGTGACCAAGAGAGTTCGGCTCGACCATCAAGTAAAGACGAACTACATTTGTAGAATTATATGCAAATATCCGCAAACTTACAGAACCCCATAAACGGTGAATGGTACAGGATACCATAACAAAAACAGTAAGTATCTGGAAGATAAATATCTAATATGTCCAACCTCCGAGACGACCCAAGAATCTTACTATACGAGAGAAAACTTGAGCATTCAAATGTGAAGCACTCTGGTTCAAGCTTTATGCCGCACTCAGTTCGGGTAGTGCTCCACGCGATCTAATCCACGAAGGCATGAAGTGTGCGGAAGTTTGTGTCACGGCGAGTTAACGCAGGTGAGGTCTTTTAACTGGGTGTCTGGTTTCTGTCTATTGCAGTGAGAAAACGGTGAACCCATAGTGGTCAATAAAACAGCAGCAGGTAAGTCCAGCCCCT